CGCCTTTGCTCCAGCCCGGAGCCGCCTTTCTGCCTTCCCATGCTGCCCAGAGGCCTGGAGTGGCTGGGGCGGTGTGGAAGGCCTGCATCGTCACCATGGCGATGACGCAAATGTCCTGCCCCACCCCAGTTGCTCCATGCCTGTGCATGCAAATTAATCCGCCATCTTTGTTGGGTTAATTTGCATACTCACTCCTGATTGGCTGGTGGGTGTCACGAAGGTACTGTCAATTTGCATCTTTCTCTTTTATTAGTGTAGACATTTCTAAACTAAAATCAGTTTCACTGGACTACAAGTGAAGGTGTCTTCAGGGCCTGTTCCTTTTTTAGGCTCTGAGGGGGGAATCCACTTTCTTGCCTTTTTCAGCTTCTAGTGGCCACATGCATTCCTTGGCTGTGGCCCTCCTCCAACTCCAAAGCTTATCAATCCCATCTCTGCCTCTGTCAGCACACTGCCTTCTCCTTTGTCTCTGACCCTCCTGCCACCCACTCTGATAAGAACCCCGTGATCCCTTTGGGCCCAGCAGGACAACCTAGGATAATCTCCTCACCTCAAGATCCTTAACCTAATCACACCTGCGAACGTGCCCTTTGCCTTTTAAGGGAACAATCTTTAGGTTCCAGGGATTAGTCATGGATATATTAAGGGGATGGGGGGGCAGGACCATTATTCAGTTTTCCACATTCCTCAACACCTTACATGCCTGTCACCCTAAACCAGCAATTTTCAACCCTTTTCATCTCATGGCATATGTAAACTAATTACTAAGATTTTGCAGGACACCCAAATATCAATTATATATTTTGCCAATCTGACAAAAAAAAATAGATATAATTTTGATTCATTCACACCTGATGGCTATTGTTGTGTTGGCTGTTGTCATTTTGTTATTTGATAATCTAAGAGATCTCTGCCCCTGAGTAATAGTCAGGTATTGCATGTTTTAAAACTTCTAGCAGCACACCAATTGGAAATCACTGTTCTAAACTAATGGTCCCCTTTCTATTTACTAGGAAAAGCATCAGTAGAGACTTTCTCAGGTCCTCTCCACAAAGTTGTTGCTACTTTCTACCTCACCTCTTTACCCATCCTTAATGACTTTCCAAATACCTCAAAGAAGCACTGATCCTCCTTTCCCGGGTTAACTCCCCCCCCCCCCCCCGCCCCCATGATTTTGAATGTATAGCCTTTTATCTTTAAGACTAATCAGCAATACTAGCATATCTTTGCAGTTTGTAAAAATGACTGGAAATATAGACAAATTTGAGTAAGAACATAAAAAGACCTTTGGAAATTCACCATAGTTTTAGGCAGAAAACTCATTATTAATTTTCTGTCATCCTATATATGACAGAAAATATTTTCCTCTTTCCTTTTACATTAATTCTAATAACTCAGTTATCTATAGAATAACATTGATAATTTCAGCTGGGTCAAGTTTCTAAACCTAATATTGTTCAATGCTTTTTTAAAATATATTTTATTGATTTTTTACAGAGAGGAAGGGAGAGGGATAGAGAGTTAGAAACATCGATGAGAGAGAAACATGGATGAGCTGCCTCCTGCACACCTCCTACTGGGGATGTGCCCGCAACCTAGGTACATGCCCTTGACCGAAATCGAACCTGGGACCTTTCAGTCTGCAGGCTGACACTCTATCCACTGAGCCAAACCGGTTAGGGCTTGTACAATGTTTTAATGGCAAAAAAAAAACACTAGTCATGGATTATAATAATTAAATAACCTATATTGCAACAAACTTTTTCTATAAAATATTTTAAAAATTTCCCCAATCATTAATCTTTTAAACAATTAAAACTGAAAATTGAGCAATGCTAAACCAATCTTAAAAGTTTAACATCTTAATTGTTCTTTAAGGAAAAAATGAATTAAAAATAACTAATTTAAGTAAAACAGAGATTATAAACTCTATTGCCTTTAGAAGCTAAGTTCTAAAGGATAAGTAGGAGCAAATCACATAGAGAGGAAACATTCTAGAAACATTTCCAGACAAAAGACATGTGTGATGATTCCAAGATGAGAGAGAAGAATCTCAGCAGGGAAGCAACATGATCACATGCTTGAAAATAGTAACCCTAGGAGCAATATTGAAAAGAGAATAGAGAGGAGCACAATGAATGTTGTAAGACTAGTTATACAATGGAGAGAAATGAGGGTGCTCTGGTCTTGGGGAGATCTAAAAACAGAACTGCAGATTCTAGAAATATATGATGGAGAAAGAGAGGGAGAAGAAACTGACAATAATAAGTCCCAGGTCTCTGGCACAAACGAATAAAATGACACTGATTAGGAGCTCACTTGGAAATGCCAAGTTTGAAATACCTCTCAGACAATGAAGGGAGCCATCAACTAGACAAATGACTATGAATATGAATCTCAGAGACTGAGGCTGGAGACCTAATTTGGGAATCATCTGCACAGAGGCACCAAATAAAGTTAGGTGTACCAGGAGAAGCAAAACTAGGAAGAAGCTTCAAGAATGCCTTTATCTAAGAGGCAGAGGAGACGGAGTAGTGGCTGAGAAGGAAAAGTCAGAAAGGTAGGAGCATACAAAGGGAGTGAGTGCTTTGTCACAGTAATTAAGAACCCAACATGTTAGGAGAAAAGACTGGTCAAATGTGCCAAATATTGCTGAAAGATATCCAGGAGCATGAGAACTAGCAGCGATCTTTGCCTTCATAGATACGCAGATATGGTGATCTTGATAAAGGCAAGACTGAACAGAATTGTTCAGATAAAAATGCAAAATAAAGAGAATGAAAATTTAATAGTTTAGACAGACGCTTAACTGGAACATATTCAAAGCAAATGAAAGATGAGAAAAGGGAAAGAACAAGTGTCAACAGTTCTTATAAGACATTTTAGTTGTGAATGGAAATGCAGAGGTCCGAAAGAAAACTCAGAAGATTTTGAGGAAGTGAATGGCCCAAACATATTTAAGCTGATAAGTAAGATCGAGTAAAAAGGCAGAACCTGAAGATACTTCAGGTTTTTCACAAGGTAGAAAGAGATGTGAGCTTTAACACAGCTGGAAGATTGGCCTCTGCCAGAGAGACACTACCCTCCATTAAAACAGGAAGGAAAAAGAAAAACACAAAAGGGGAGAAAATATAGGTGAAACTGTAGATTCAGTGGCATGACACAGTTTCTACCTTATGCTTTCTTTTTTCTCCTGAGAGGTAGAAGGCACTTGTTAACAGCGAAGTGACCAGTAGGAAAGCTGGAGGTTTGAAGAGAACTATTTCAAAGTGGTGGAATGAGCTGACTAGAGAGAGTCTGCCGGGTAGTGTGGAGGGCTGACTGGAGGTTTGTGACTATGTACAAAGTGGCACTCACCTACCCTGTGTGGGATTTCCTCCAGGAGAGGCCCAAGAAAGATTTAAGTGGCTGGGTTTATCCATAGTTTTAGCACTACCAGATGCGTTTGTTGAAAGGTTGAAGGGATGAGAAATATTAATACTAGTTAATTTTTACTGAGCACATTATAGTCCGGGGCCTTGCTAGTGCTTTATATGAATGGCCCCTTTAAGCCTCATGACTATCCCTACCAAGTTGGTACCATATTATTTTCATTTTATAAATGAGGAAGCTGAGGAATGAATTTGACAATCAATGTTCACATAACAGCTAGCATTCAAGGTTTGAGATTTCATGAGAAAAAAAGAATTGAAATAAAACAAATTTTAAAAATAACCTGATGTAAGATTGAGTGTTGTATAATTTTAAAAATACTTCTGAATCAGAACAATGGGCCATGAAATTACAAGTGGTTTTCTTAGTGTTAGTGTTAGACAGTGTTAGAATTTAAAGACTCACCAAATCCAGAACTTTAAGAGAACAGCAATAAACTTATTTCACATTTATATCTCAGACATGATATATTTTCTTATGCTAATCATTGCCTCAAATGTCAACACATGAATCTATATCCTGAAGAAAGTGAAAATAAGGCTCAGAAAGACTAAACAATGTGTTACACCTTTTATCAAACCCCTGAAAAATGAAGTATCCTATCACTGACCCCCTTGTCACTAGGTCTACAAAACCACGAGTAATAGGCCTGACTGAATTAATTAGCAGAACAAAAAACTTTTTAGCTGTTTGCTCTCATTGAAAATTATTTCCAAACATTACTTTATTCTATCAAGTGCAAGAAACTAGGTAAGCTTTCACCATTGTATTACAACTAAAGAAAACAAAATAAAAATTTGAAAAGCAAAGAGTAAACGCTTAGAAGAAAATCATTCTTTCCAATTTCCAAACGTGAACACTGAGGCAACAAGATGTTATCAGACTTGGTAATTTTGCAGTGACAGAATAATTAAGCAGCTTAATCAATTTTGTTTCATTCTATCATCATACTAAAGTTAAAAAAAAACCTGTTAGTTTAATCTCCTTGAAAGCAATTAAACACCTTCGCTCATCAATGTTTTCCAAACTGTCCTGCTGAAAAGATATTTTTCTTGACTGATAAACAAAAAACAGTAATAGGTGAAAAATAGAATATATACCTGAAGAATATAAATACTGAAAGCATTTACCATTAAGAAAGATAGATGGCAGCTATTAGAGTATAATTATCACAAAAGTATTTCTATTAATGACATCCCCTGTCAGTAAAGATATGAAGACATTATAAATTTGTAACAGAATATTCACCTTTCATTTATCATGTTGTCATTCAACCACCTTTAGTCAAAAGAGACGCTAATAAAGCTTTTTGGTATTTCCCATTCTAAAGCAAAAATGCTAGATATTCAGAAAAAAATTACATCTTTCCCTTCCAGTTTTTCATTCTAATCATAAAGTATATAAAACACTATATAAACTAACATGACCCTTGCTAGGGCAATACTGTTTATTTTTTTAAAAGCACCTTCCACACTGACATATACTATTCAACTACATGTAAAAAAGAAAACATTGTTTTGAAATGCCTAACTTCTTAAAGGGAAAACAATAAAAAAAACTCTACTTACCATATACATTAGTATGTCTCTAATCATCACCATAGCTGTTTGATGATCATTCCAAGCTTGATTTAGCGTTTGAAGAAAGTTGTTATTCAATGAATTAAGTACATCCTCTCGCACCTATTAACAGAAGAGTTCATTACAGTTTGTTAATACATACACATATGTGCACGCACTCATATGTAACATGCACTTATTTCTGTTCAATAAAATAATAAAGTGGACTCTTCAATTTTAAATTAAAAAATGTTATAGACCAGTAGAAACATTTTAAGCTAGAATATGTTATGTACAGATGAGTAACAAATGTGTTTTGTATAGTCCAAGCCCTTTCCCTTGATCTTCAGAATCAAAAAGCAATCTCTTGGGCATTTTTTAACATCACAGTAAAAAAAAAAAAAAAAAAGAAAAGAAAAGAAAAATCCTAAATACTTAAATGGAACTAAAAGGCTCTATCTGTAGAACTGGCCCCGGAGCTATTGCTCCAATTTTACCTTTCCTCCCCCATTTTTGAAGAAATAGTGAGACCACTGATTCCTGAGTCAAATTACCTAGGCTAGAATCCCAGCTCCCTGACTAGCTGTATGACTTTGGATACATTATTTAATCTCTATGCTTCAGTTTCCTTATATGTGAAATAGTGTCCATTTTGTAGGATTATTGAAAGGATTAAATTAACACTTGTAACATACTTAGAACGATTAAATTAACACTTGTAACATACTTAGAACAGTGTCTGGCACTCATTAAGCACTCTAGCTACAATGGAGCTGCATACAGAAAATGTGTTCTGCCATTTCTTTTGCCTTGATTCACAGCTCACTCCCTCACTTTTTTTCCCTCAAGTCCTACCTCCAGTTTTTCCCTGACCACCCTATTTCAAACAACAACCTCTACCTTTACTCCTTAACCCTACAGTTTATTTTTCCTCACAGAACTCATCACTAGGTACTGTATTACTAGTTTCTTGTTTCTCACACCAAAATGTAAGCTCCATAGCATCAGGGATTCTGTCTTTTCCATGTATATCTCCTACATCTACAATAGTGCCTGGCATATATGTAAGATATTTTATTTTATCCCCACCCACCAATACCATGATCCACTTCCAACATGGTAAGCTCTTTCAGTGTATCTATCTGCCTTTGCACATAAGTTCCCTGAGTCTGAAATGTTTTCCTAATGCAATCCTGATAATACTACACAGATTTCAAGACTTCCTTCACATAATCCACAAGCATACTGCCACCTTCTCCAATAAGAGGTTACTGACCACTACTACTTCCTGCTATGCTATCAGTCCAATGGAAAGAGTATTTAACTAGGAAACAGAATCTAGATTCTGGTTCTAGCTTTATCATGAAGAAGTGTGCTTGTCTTCTAGGTTTCTATAACTCTTTTGTTGTACTACACTACCAAACTCTCCAGTTATTCAAATCCAACTAATCCTCCATGGTCTAGCTCAACTGTCAATACTCCAACCTAATAGACAGCTTTATCTCCAAACATCCTTTACTACTAATCTACAGTAGTAAACAATTTTTCAGGTTGGGAGAATCTGAAGTCATGGTGATTTTTGAGAAACAAATATAATATATGTATTAAAATATATAGATATCTATGAACCTAAGTTCTAAACAAAAGAAATTAAAAAGATCATTGAGTATTATAACTAGTATAAACAAGTGATTGGAAGTACCAAACATTGAAAGAAAATACACATAACGCACTAATCCCAACACATAGGAGAATAAGTTCAAATAGGAAAAAACTAATTTATTTTTTCTTATATTAGAGGAAAAGAGGTCTTCAAGAGATATTAGTGATGGGACAATATGTCTAGTCTACTAAACATGTAGTATAAAAACCATTAGCTTATACTACATAACTTAGAATTTTATTATATATTTAATCTTTTGTTCACAACTGAATTTTGTCTTGTACACAAGATGCATTTTGAAGCTTTTGGACTTCAAAATATATCACCCAGAAATTATTCCATAAATATGCTGACTATATCAAAAGTGATAAATATCCATGTCGGTTAGTTGAAAGCACTGTGTTTAACAAATACTATTATGCAAAGTAGATAAAATAAATCATTTATTTCTACCAATTGTCAGATACAAATTTCCAAGGTAGCTAAGACTAAAAAAAAAAAAAAAACAACCATCAACACAGCAAGTTGAAAATGTAGCTATATTCTTCGCCACACTTCATATTCTTTCACTGAAACACTAAATTCTGAGTGTCAATTAAATTAAAATCATGAAAATACTAGAGAAATTGCACAATGTAACAAAAATAAAATGGTATATTCCAAACACCAAGAATATCTAACAATTAATTATTCTTAAGGACTTAAGTAAACTCTGTATACCCCTTTGTTATAAAAATCAAGTTATGTGTTACCTACATTAAAGTCACCCTGATTTGGGGACACAAAAATGTACTTGGTATATTTCATTCATGTGTTTAGATGAATGAAAAAGTGACCAATTAAACAGTTATAAAATAAACCATGTTTTTCAAAATCACTAATACTCTTTAAAATAAAATATATCAACAAGCATCTATATAATATTTATACTTAAACCTGACTTTCAACAAAATAATATGATCAACTAGCACAATGTGTCATAAATAAAACTTTATTTGCATTACACTTCAAAAATTATCCTCACAAATCAATAAGTGCATATTACTTAGCAAAAAAAAGCTATTAAGAGCTAATTTTGTTCAATTTATTTTTGAATGACTATGCATATACACACATACCTAAGACAAAGTAAATGTCTTACATATACTTGTTGTAATCGTCTCTTAATTATTCAAATCACTCTATAAGCAAAAAATTATTTCTTTAATACTACCCCCAAAAATATCTTTCTACTCTGATACATCAAAAGTGAATGGATATTTTTTTCAAATATATATCATAAAGTGGTAGGAGAATCAGATGAAAATACAACCTTTATGAAAATTAAAACAGGCTTTTTAAACAAAAAGATGGCATATAAATGAAAAATATACACTAAATGGAAAAAGCCTCATTTTACAAAGTATTAATGTAACAATACAGACATTTTGAAAAAGAGAAAGCGGGGGCTGTGTATGTGTGTGTAACATTGTTAGTCTCACACTCAACACAACCATTAATTTCTGCACCAGAAAAGGCAAATGGGAAGGAACCCTGCTATAGAGGTGATCCTAGGATCAAAAGGGCCTGCTGACAAGTATGACCGGTAGTATTACTTAAGAAGACCTCTAAGAAGGTTACTCAGTTGAAGAGTTGGAATTTGAAGGGTGAGATAAGCAAGAACAAGTAACAAAGCCATGGAAAGGTGATAAAAGTATAGGGTCAGCTGTGACAGGATAAAATGAGCCATTGAAAACTGGCTGCACATGGTACTTAGCTTTGAAAGGATAAAGCAATGCACAGATAATAGTTCAAAACAGATCACAAACCTGGTGAATAATTAGAATCATCTGAATAGCAATAGATTTTGATAAAAGAGATCAAAAAGACAAAACACAGACTGGGAGAAAATATTTGCAAAAGACATATCTGATAAAGGACTGTTCAACCTTGCGTTCTTAGCCTCTGGTACAATTGGCTTCATTTTATGTCATTTCACTTAAAGTCACAGAACCTATCGACGATGTTAAGTGAAGACTTACTATATACAAAGAATTCATAAAACTCAACAACAGAAAACAAATGACCCAATTTAAAAAATTGGCAAAAGACCTGACACTTCACCAAAAAAATACAGATGACAAATAAGCATATGAAAAGATTTGTGATATCTGATCATTAAGGAAATGCAAATAAAAACAATATTGGGATACCACTACATATCAATTAAGATGGCCAAAATCCCAAACAGTGACAACACCAAATGCTGGTGAGGATGTACATTAACAGGCATTCTCATTCACTGCTGGGGGAAATGCAAAATGGCATATTTTTACTATAATGATCCAGCAATTATACTCCTTGGTATAAATACCAAAGGAGTTGACAACTTATATCCACACAAAACCCCACACACAGATGTTTATAGCAACTTTATTCATAATTGCCAAAACTTGGACAAGATATCCTTCAGTAGATGAATAGATACATCCAGACAGAATATTATTTAGCACTAAAAAGAAATGAGAAGACATGAAGGAACATTAAGTGCATATTACCGAGTGAAAGAAGACAATCTAAAAAGACTACATAGCAGCCGTGGGCAAACTACGGCCCATGGGCCAGATCCGGCCCGTTTGAAATGAATAAAGCTAAAAAAAAAAAAAAAGACCATACCCTTTTATGTAATGATGTTTACTTTCAATTTATATTAGTTCACACAAACACTCCATCCATGCTTTTGTTCCGGTCCTCCGGTCCAGTTTAAGAACCCATTGTGGCCCTCGAGTCAAAAAGTTTGCCCACCCCTGCTACATACCATATGATTCCAACTACTATGTGACATTCTGGAAAAGGTAAAACTAAGAAGACTGTAAAATCACCTGTTATCAGGGGTTAGGGTGGAGGGAAAGATAAAAAGGCAGTGAGGCTATTCTGTTTGGTACTATGACAGAGAATACATTTCATTATTCATTTGTTAAAACCTAGACAATGTACACCAAGAGTAATCCCCAATGTAAACTATAAACTGGGTGACAATAATATGTCAATGTAGGTTTACCCACTGTAACAAATGTACTACTCCGGGGTGAGATGCAGAAAGTAGGAGAGACTATATGCGTGTGTGGAGGCAGGAAGTACATGAAAAATCTCTGTACCTTCTGCTCAATTTTGCTGTGTCTCTAAAACTGCTCTACAAAATAAAGTCAATTAAAAAAAAAAAAAGCTACTCATAACAGTCAGGATTTCCAAACCACTGACTTTAAAAGAACCACACCAGCCATTTCTGTTCCATTCCTTTGCAGAATTTCTTCAACATGAACATATTTTTATATAGTTAGAATAATAATATTGATGTAATTCTGAGTCCTGATTTTTTTAAGCCATCAATCAACATTCAACATTAACCTCTGCTTTAGGAAACCTCTACTTATAGCATATCATTTCCAAAGCACCATAATAATTCAAAGAAAAAGGTCTA